TTTGCAGCCCATTTCTATTAAGAATGGACAATCAGGTGGTTAATAAACCACCTATTAAGATTAGGAACTAGATTTTCCAGATTAAATAGAATCGATTGAATAATATATTTTAAATAAATCATGAATGTGTGAATCGATGAAAATCAAAAGTCCCTTTTATTTATATCTCTTTTCCTAAATTTCTAGTTGTTAATGTGCTTATCTCTGTCCTTGGATTTTACTGCATAGCCAAACCTTCTTTTGTGTCTTCTGCCAAGACTATAAGGAAATGTTCTCCATTGAACACTGCAGCAGTACATTGTAAACAGTGTGAAAATAGGATGAAATTTTCTATTTTACTTAGAAGACTTACTATGACTTTGTTTGACCACACATTGACAGAACTGCTGTGCAAATAGTTGCAAACAACACAGCAAAGACATCACTTTTATATATAGCTCTGGATGAGCTGAAAACATAAAGTTCAAAACACATCATCTACTCAGTGGTTTATAAAGATTGTGTAACCCACTATCTAAACTCATCTGACTAACAATGAAACCATGAGAGAGACAGGTGGTTTGTAACTGTGGATGAGTTGAACGGCCACAGTTCTCGTACAAGGAAAGGATTCAGATAATTGCTTGCTAGTCACATTAAAACAATGCTGGAAGAAAAATGTATGAATAAATGAATGAGTGAACACTGGATTAATGAGCTACTTCCTACACTTAGTGCGTGAGCTCTACTGGGATGGCAATGCATTTTCATTACGTGTCTGAATGCAACACAACGTATTATGGCCTCAATTTGCATCTGCTGTTTTGGCTGTGACACAATGAGGCCTGGAAAGCAGGGGGCTTGACCACTGCAAGGAATGCATTTCACAGAGCGTTTCTCAGCAGCAGCTGAGAACCATCCTTCTGCTTCATGTTCATGTGAGACTGACACCATGGACCTACTAAGCTGCTTCTCTGAGGAAAGTAAGGTCTGGCCAGGTTTGGCCTGCAGGCATTGCACCATGCCTAGCTGCTTCAGCCCACGAGGCAGAGCCCTGCTCAGCCACGGCCAGAGTAGCAATGGCAGAGCTGGCGGACTGACCCTGGCCAGCTTTGCCTTATGCTGCAGCACCAGCAGGCCAGCTGACCTGACCTCTTCCTTTTTTATTTTTGTTCACGTTCATCTTTATTCTTCTTCTTCCAAGGGCACATCTCAGCTTGCATGAGAGAGCCATCTGGGGTCCATAGGTGTGCCCTGCAGTATTCCATAGCAACGACCCGGGTGCATGACCCAAGGAGTCAGTTCGTTAACAGGGTGTTAACTAAGTATTTTCTGAAGCCTGGTGCCAGGCAGGCAGCTCTGGAAGCCGCAAGGGCGCTACCTTTGATTTGAGAGCATTCAAAATCAGCATTGACCTTAACAGAGATGGACTGTATTGAGTTGCTCATTGACTCCCACTGAGCTCCCTGTTCACCAGGATACCAGTTCTGCACTTCTCTGAAGGATGAAGGTGACGGCATTGGATGAGATTAGACGTCATCTTCATTACAAAAGAGCCTTTAATTATATGATATCATTGAATATCGCTCAATACTGAAGGAAAGAATTTCAAATTTCAGGCAGTGACAAGAAGAACTGGGTGCCCATCCTGGCTTCCCCAGAGGCCTCTTCTGGCGCATTATGTTGGAGCACGAGAGATGTCAAATTAGATGTTGCACAAGCAATATGGCCCAAGCACTTCTTAACTTCAGGGAGCAAGGCTTTGCAACCTACACACTCTGTGTGTAATTATTAAATGGGGGCTGATTCAGAGCCTTGACATATGAAGATAAGAACAGCCCACGGGCTCTCCATCCTTCCTTCTACACGTGTATAGATTTCAAGCAATTACTTGGAGAGGACCGGATCAAAACACCGGTTGTTTTTGAAAGCCTCAGAAAAGAGTGACCAGTTCAATCCCAAATTGCCTATTTTTTTGTGGCTGAAGCAGTATACCCAGCAATCCAGGTATTTTGGTATGACATTTTCAGAACGATACTTCTATATGCTACCCAAGAAAAGAGACATTTGAGAGCAAGAAAGGGTGCTTTTGCCATCTTGGAGAGCGAGTATGTAAGAATAGGAACCAGGCCTTATTTTCAGTCCAGCTTTTTGATTCACTGGTAAACAAGACTGCTCACACAGAGTCATTTTTGTCACTGGATTGAGACTGCTGAACAACCAGTGCATTTCAAGGACAGAGATAAGACAGCAAGCCCAGAAAACACTCTCCTCTGCTGCTAATTGCTTCACTTTAAGACCCACACAACATCAGCGATGACATTCAAGGACCTGCTGCTGCAGGGAGCTGACTGCCCTTCTGCCAGCACCTGTGCCTAACGCAGGCAGTGCCCAGCAACCCGTGCCTTGAGACACGTCAGAGCCAACCAGGCCTTCTGCCACACAGAGCTGAAAGACTCCCAGAGCTGCAGACAATGTATAGAAACAATTACACTCACTGTTGATTAGTACAATCTGCCCTTTTCAACTTAGCTGGTGTTGCCAAGTGATGAGCACACCTCTATGAGCCACACGGAAAGGAGTTCACTACTTGCTTACTTAGAGAACATGCTAAATTATGCAACCTGTTTTAATGCATCCTGCCCCCTAGGAAGACACAATTAATTTGGAACAGCAGCTGAAAAAAAACGATCAGATCTTCACCATCTACCAAATGCTAATTAGTTAATCCACGTGGCTGCACAAATGTGAGATCCATTGTCTAGTAAAGACTTACAGTTGACCATTTTCATCAGCACCTGACATCACACTGAAATAGGCTGTTGGCATACAGCCACGTTTCTATGCAGTGTAGCTGTGATACCCATTTTGTCCTGCTTAGGAAGGAGACAGCTCTTTTAATCACGTCTATAACATGCCTGTTCAGAGCAAGAAATAAGCAGTCCAGCAAGCAGAGAAGATGGTTTGGAAATCAATTATAGGATACCTTGGTGTCTGAGTGAAATTCCTGAAGCTTCATCTTCCCTTGCCACCCCCACCAAGCCGCAGCTCAGTATCTGTGTTCCAAGCAGACTCCTCAATTTTAAGGAGGGTTGAACTCAAGAGGCTGCCTCTCATTAGGACAACTGCTAAGCCTCAGCTGAAACTGAGGAGAACAGAGATTTGCACTCTGTTGAGCTTACATAGCAGGTTCCAAATAAAATAAATCAGCAGTTAGGAAAGACGGGAATCATATAACCTCTCTAAGCCCGGATTCCAAAGCAGCCAACCGCTCAAAACAAGATTTTCCTTGACGTTTTGCCTTTTTAAAATATATTTTAATTCAGATGATCATTTACCTTTCCTCTTCACACAAATGCTGTGCTGCAATTCTCCCTCCTTCCAACCCCAAACGCTAAGTTAAACAGAGCTAAGAAACTTCCATTGTGAGAAGATGCTAAGGCAGCCCGAGCTCCTGGAGGCTTGACATGAGCTGTACGTACCCTGACCTCCTGCTGCAAATACCACCATCTGTTTCAAATTACTCAGCCTGTCTGGTACATGTTATGCCCTTTCACATACATCTTTACCAGCAGACTTCAACGATCTCTCTGAAGGGAATGGTATCTTCCCCTGTAGTTTGAAGCTGAAGAAGCTACAGGACTGCGAGGGAAAAGGCAAGTTTAACTGAAGATAATGCCCCTTCCTTGCACACACTAGCAATTTTGAACTCTAGCAAATGAAACAGCATTAGTGCCAACAGCTCTGGCACTGTCTTCCCCATCCATTGCAAGGGCCATTGAACAGCTTAACAAGCACTAGATGAGTATCATTAAATCCAAAGCTGTTACCTGAGCACTTCAGCCCTTAAACCTTAAGAAACGGGGAAGCACCAGTCCCACTATCTCAGGGGAGACCTCATTCGCTGAATTTGCTGATTAGTTCCTTCATCACAGGAAAAGTAAAAAACAAAATTAGTAATAATAACAAACTTCTGTCTCTCAAGGAGCAGATAGCACTTCTTAGCATAACAATTTTTTGTCTGCTTCAGCCAAAGAAAACAGGATGGAAGGACTGCTCTCAAGTTGTTCCTGGATTGAAGAACATACTGCCAAGAAATCTCTTCAGATTATAGCCCTCCTGTTAAGAACTTACAGAGCAAATGAGTAAGTTTATTTCTCAAATGAAATTATTATTTTTAATTCTTTTCCACACAACCCAGTTTGAAACTGGCAAAATACAAGCTATTAGGTCTTCTATCAACCCTGCCTCCCATCGTTACCCAAAGGCAGTCTAAAATACATTATTTAAATGCAATTGTTTAAATGCAATCCAAATGCAATTCTTTCTATCACATACCCATGCAGAGGCAATCTAAATGCAGAAGAAAATGCTGAAGAAAAATATGCTGTTTTTAATATCAAGTCAGAACTAAGACACTGTCTCCAGTACAAAATGGCCTGGAATACCATGCCAATGAACTAATACCGCTGTCACAGTAAATAGTAAAATACTGCATGCCTCAATGAACAGAATGAGCTGCTCCTTTTCACTCAGTGCTTTGTTGGTTTAGCCTATGTTAGCAGATAAAGAGGCTCAAGAGCTGGTTTCAATGAAGAAAAAAACAAAAACAAAACAGAACTAGTAAAATCTAATTGTCATTAGTATTTAATCATCTATAAAAAATAAACCAGCACTCCCAGTTTACATCTCATTGCACACGATCAAAGCAGGCGTTCAGTTTTAACACAGGACACAGTGACACCCACCAAGGGACAGTGAAGAATACACTCAAGCCACCAAAACAGGGATGTGTACCGAGCCACGAGGACTTCAACTCACACTGCACCTATCTGAAAAGTCTTATCACCTAACTGAAAGTCTTATCAAAAGCAAAACCCATCACGTTCCTGGTTTGGGGTCTAGAATCCTCACAAATACCAAATTACATTTTCAGAAAACCTTTCAATACATAAAAGCAAGCAAATCTCTGGAGAATTCCACACTTCTCCACATAAAGCAAGAAGGAGCAGAAGCACTGGTTCAATTCAACAACGCACGTCAGCTTTATTAGACTGCTGTGTTGACAAGAACTAGCGGTAGCGGTGCAGCTGCAGGGTGTTGCGCCTCCTCCAGGCAGCGCGACGGGAGCCACCAATGGTGTGATGGAATTTGTGGCCCTTGCCCAGACCGCGGCTCTTCCTCCCGGCTGACGTCAGCCCACGCATCTCTCTGTGCTTGTGGACGGGCCTGGTGATCCACTGCGTGTCGGGGTTGCGGCGGATGGCCTTGTGGAAGGGATCGATCAGGATCACCTCGAAAAACTTGTAAGTGGAATCTTCACCCACCCAATAGGAGTTCAAGACTCTCAGAGCCCCACAGTGCCGGCCAGCACGCTCCTGGAGGAGAAAAATCAACGCAAAACGCTGTAAAACCATGGAAGCAGGGACAGCCTTCGTGTGAAAGGATACGAATAACCCAAACCTAGTTTTTTTCTAGAATTTTTCATTTGCTCTGAGCAAAACACTCTCCTCAAAAGAACCACACAAATCTCTGGCAACAAAAACACCTGAAGAAGTGATGTTCAAAAAAAAATGCCGTATTCGACAAAGGCTGCTGGAATTCTTAGGTGAGACAGGTTTTAAAGAATGTAATGAGGAATGCATTTGGTTGACAAAATAAAGAACTATTCCACGTGCAGAAGAGCCCTGTAAGCCACACTTGGGGCCGCCAAACAATTTTGAAAACTGTGAAAGACCAATCAATCTGAATGTCCAGAGTTGCTGAGGAAAAAGGCCTGGAGGACAGAAGCTCATATTGATAGGAAAAAAGAGGAACAGTTGATGTAACAAGCCTTCGATATGCCTTTCCTATCCTTGGCTGCAGTTGGAAAGAAACAGTCCTTGTTCAAGCAAAGAGAAAATAAGTTGAGTTACAGAACTCCATCTGCCTCTCCTGTCAAGATCTCCCCTTTTCACCCTAGGACATTATCATCATCACTACAGATCCATCCAACCTCTACCTCAAACCTATTACTACAGATGTGCACCAACACCACCAGCTTACAACCTCTTGCATATTTCATGTCTTCCATTTCTCTGCACGTGGCAGTGACACATACTAAACATTAAAATAACAATCACCCTCAGCTAACTTCTAGATGACAGGGATGACAGTGACAATCAAGGTTTGGCATTTCTAGAACATCTTTATCTGAAGAACAGAAGCCTTCCAGGAGAAAACAAGCCAGATTCACAACATTTTGGACTAAATAAGAGGGCCAACAACCTCTTTTCATGAGCTGTCACCAGAACCAAGCAGTTATATGGTATTCCCGAATGTCTGATATGAGCACCATGAGCACTCAAAACAAAGCTTTTAAATTTAAACTCATCACTTTTGTTAAAAAATAAAAAGTAAATGGAACAAAGAAACAAAACCATAACCACCCTGTAAACAACTTCCTGCTGAAATAGGAATGCTTTTTTGGTTCTGGGAAAAGTCATCTGCTTAAAGATGTACAAGAATGGAGACTGCTCACTGCCTTTACAATGCCTCTTCTGGGGAGTGCTAGTCAGTATTGCTCTAAGTCTTGCAGCTTGTTTTTTTTTCCATACATGAGAAGTACAACTGCAGCATTAAGAAATATAACAAAGTTCTCCTGGATGGAATGTCTCAATTGTCAGCATTTTAGCAGGTAACAGCATTGTTTAACTATTTAAACTACCAATCTTCAAGCTTATGAGCCAGAGATACTTTTAACTTCAACATGCCTCTGGCATGCTGTTTTCAGAGTATGATACAGCTAAGTACACTGCACAGCACTCCTACTATACAAACAGGTGCTGCAGTCTTTAAGGCAGGAATTTACTTGTGTTTTGTGAAAGGACCACTGTCTAAAGCTGCTAATACATACAACACGGTAGGGAACATAAAGGCAGGATTTAGCAGTGACTGCAGTCACACAGTTCAGCATATTTGAATTTCAGTTTCTCATACCCAGCTCTTTGTTTTTCAGGCCTTTGTCAGTTGTATGTCTTTCATTACAAGTATTGCAGCGTGCTTCTGAAAGAAGCATATCCCAGAAACTTCAACAAACCACCTTAGTGGTTCTTTCCACATCCCCACATGCAGAGTGTGAATAGGTTTCACTCTTTTGTCTCAAAACAGCTTTTCAAGACACTCTGGTGCTCTCCTGCCATCAATACTCAAGATCTTTTACCTAATACATTAGAGAACAGTTACTGATTTGGTCACTAAGCCTTTTCCACTTTTATAGACAAGGTGCAACCCCAATTATCTGAGCAATAACCAAAACAGTCACCTCTGCTACAGACTGAAGACTGCGGGCGAACTTGAGCTGGTTGACACCGTGATGCACAGGCTTCCCATAGGTTGCACCTTTTGGGACAGGGCGCTTCCGACCACCACGACGAACACGGACACGGTAGATAACATAACCTAGAAGAAATGGCCATTTAGTGTACAAGCACACCTTATGGTAAGGCAATTCACATACTGCATTGCCAACCCCAAAGGCTTTGCATGAAATGCTGCAATAAAGCAGGTCTTTACACTTGTCCCCACTGAAACCTACAACTCTTAAGTCTAGCACAGAGCACTTGTGTTACCTCCATTATAAGCGAACAGAGTGGTGTACAGCTGTTGGGACTTCTTCAGTTCCGAAACAGACTTTAGAGCACCTTTTCATTATGCATTTCCATATAAACTAAGAAGACCGGTGCCACAACTCACAAAAAATCCACCCCCACCCCAAAAGGCAATAAAAGAACCCCAAAACTAAAGGGCCATGCAGAAAAAGCACCATTCAAAAAGCACTGAAGTACAAGTTACCCATAAACTCCACTGAAACATGAGGAAATGAAGCAAACCTCACAAATAGGAACAGAAGTTTATACTCTTTACTTTCACATCATGACAGAGAACAAACATGGTGACTTGCTTCAAGGATTTCCTCAAGTTACAGACAGATGTCCACTTTCCCTCAGTTAGTTTGTTTTTCTGATCAGTAACTGTTTCTTACTGATCATAGAAATTAAGTAACTTTATCCTCACTCAAGTACAGACAGATATCAAGTAACTTGAGAAAAAGTCTGTCCTGAGGAAGAAACCTCCTTGCTCCAAACCTACCTACTAAAAACACTGGTCAGTGCTACCATAAGGCAGCACAAGGAGAATTACAGCCTGAATGCACTCAATCTTCATCTGCCCAATTGCTCGCAGGGGACATTAACTCAGATTACACGAAATACAGTTTTGGGCTGTGGGCACTGCTACGAACTGAACATACTTGTAAGTTTATTTAATTCAGGACACTTCAGGCTTTTCCAGGACATTCAAGTTTCTCACTTTGTCATTCTACTACCAGTCACAGAAGGAAGCAAGTTGACAAAACCATGGTCACTGCATCACCAGGCATTCTTCACCTCCTTGTCTCATTACCTTGCTTGGCCTTATATCCCAGCCTGCGAGCTTTGTCTGGCCTGGTTGGCCGGGGAGCGCGATGCAAAGCAGACAGCTGGCGGTACTGCCAGCAGCGCACGCGAAGGAGGAAACGCATCACATCTGACTGCTTTTTCCTCCATAGCTCCTGGATGTACTTGTAGGCACCCATGTTTGGTTACCTGCTGAGAAAAGAGATCAGTGAAGGCAGCAAATCTGGCTCCAGAACTGCACAGCTTCCAATAGAAAGATACTGCACTAAACCATACATACAAGATCAAAGGTACCTAACATGCTTTCATGCTTTTTTGAATCACTGGTGCACTTGGTAATATGGCTCACATTTAGCAGCCTACATTTAGCATGAGACACACAGCCGTTAACACTGACAGCAATTATCATCCATTCCACAGAACACTTTGGGTCAGAAGGAACCCTGAAGCCCACCCAGTTCCAACCTCACTGCTGTGGGCAGGGCTGCCAGCCACCAGTTCAGGCTGCAGAGAGCTCCATGCAACCTGGCCTCAAACACCTCCAAGGATGAGGCATCCACAGCTGTGCCAGGGCCTCACCACTCTAAGTGAAAAATCTCCTATTTCATTTTCTTAACGTTTGTGAAGAATGCATAAGTTGTTCTCTAGCACTCCTCATCCATGGAGCTACTGTTTCATGATTTGCAAACATTATTAAAACGGAGAGTTAGCACCTGACTCGCTTTAAAAGTTGCTCTTTAAAGAGGTATGTGACTGTGAGTGGCCTAGTTTTTACTATAAACATGGTTTAAGCACCTCTAGGACCTGCTTAACTCTCACACACCTGGAGAGCTCAGATTCCAGCAGATGTAAGTCAACACCATCATGCCACCACTCCAAACACAATTAAAAGCAATCAAACAAAAAGTTCCCCGTGCGAAAAGCACCCCACGCTCTTTTCTGTGAATCAGCCCAGCCGCAGCCGACCTCCCCCCACCCCATATCAGGTCCGCATCACGGCACGACCATCGCAACACCGCACGCCAGGCGCCTAACCCAGGCACGCGGCCGTCCACCCTCGCAGCCCCTCCCGCCCGGCCGCTCCCGGCCCTCAGCCTGCGATCAAGCCGCACGGCGAGGCGCGGCCCACGGGCCCCGCACCATCTCGCCGGGCTCTGCCGCTCGCCCGCCCGCCGAAGCGGCCACATCCCACCCCGCCAGAGCCGCACCGCGCAGGGCCGGCAGCGAGGCAGGCGAGCGGCCGGCAGGGAACGGGGATGGGAGCGGATGGAAGGCCAGCCGAGCACGGACGTACCCGGACCTGATGGCGCCCGACGCCGGAAAGAAAGAGGCCCCCCTCCCACACCCCCTTGCGGCGGCACCGCGCTTCCGGCAGCGGCCCCGGCGCCTCACGGGTAACGTAGTCCCGTAGGGGGAGCGCAGCCGCTCGCCTCCGCCGCCCGGCGGCCCCGCCCCTCCGCGGGCCCGCGACAGCCAATCAGCTGCAGGGGGCGTGTCCCGGGGCGGCTCAATGGGGCGGCGTGGGACGCTGAGCCCAGGTGCGCGGTCGCGCGGGGGCGGGGGGCGGTCGGGGCCGGGGGCGCGCGGCGGGCACGGCTTGGGGCAGGAGGTCGGGGCACGGGCAGCGCCTGGAGCACCCCGTGAGAGCCCCGAACCCGCCGGTTTGGGCCGTACAAAAGCGGTTAAAAATAAATCCTAAAAGGAAGGCGTGAGGGTTCCTAAAAATAAAAATGACGAATCCTAAAATAAAAATTCCTAAGGGAAAATCTTGTCGGCACCTCAGTCCCTGTCCCGAGCCGCTGGCCTTCCGCTGCGTGCGTCTGCACCGAGCCTGCTGCGGAGCAGCGCTGTGCCTCGTGCTGCGGGCTCTGCTGTCCCCGTCCCGGGGCGGCAGCGTTCCTGAGTGGACTCGGGGCTCACTGAGGAGCGTAGCGAGAGCTGGGCCTTCCCTGCCCACAGCCAGCCCCTTGCGACCGTAAATGTGTGCCCAGCAGGGCCTGTGCCCGTCAATTCCCAGTGTCACACTGTGTCACATTGGCGCGGCAAGAGCCCACCGGCTTCTGCAGGCTGCCCGCTGCGATCAGCCCCGCTCACAGCCTCACACAGACCCCGAAGCCTCAGCGCTGCCCTGTGCCTCTGACCGCAGTGCCTCCCAGTTCTGTCTGTGCAGGCCAGAAGTGCCGTGCGTGTCCCGCTCGTGTCCCTGCCGCTGCCGGCCCCGTCGCACGGCTGCATTTGGACAGCGCTCGCCACCCGCCGGCCTGGGGACGATGGGGAAGGGCTACAAGGTGGTGGTCTGCGGAATGGCGTCTGTGGGGAAAACTGCGATTTTGGAGCAGCTTCTCTATGGAAAGCACACTGTCGGTGAGGTGGTTTTGTCTTTTGTGTGTGTGTGGATCGTTTCCTTGGGCAGAACGTTGTGTGAGGACACAAAGGTGGTGACTCAGGGACACTCACTGTGCAGAGGGAGGACAAGAGCATGGCCTGGGCTCATCTGGGCTCATCTCAGGGCCTTCTCTGGGACTCGTGGGCACTAACACCTTCCAGAAGTGGTTTGGAAGAGCCCTTCTGTGGTGTTCCTGGTTCCAAACTACAGGAGTGCTTAAAAAGAAACAAATACAAAAACAGATGCTTTGCTCACTGCCCATTTACATGAGGAGTATGCAAACAAGAAATATGTTGTTCCCTGAAAGATCAGAATCATAGAACCATAGATGCTTTTGATGCCTGAAAGGTAAATAGATATGATATTATAAATGGGGAGACTGCTTAGACTTCTGTCATGCCTTCTTAGAACTTTCCTTGGTTTGGTTTTGGCTCATGGTTAATCAAAGTGCTGGAAAAGAAAGCAGCTCTGCTTTAGGTCCTTCTCTGGGCTCCAAGGGCTGTGCAGGAGGAGCATGGAACCACCCGCCCAGGTATCAGATGAAGGGCAGCAAATGGTGTCTGCAGGGGGGGGATCTCAGAGCTTTGACAGAGGGCATCCAGTGTCTGTTTTGTAGGCTGGTACATTCAGTGCTGGGGTGAGATGTTGGATAAATATTAGGATTTCTAGCTGGCTGCTTGGCAGGCACTGTGCCTCTAAAATGCATTGATGAGAGGAATTTGCTTGCAAATCATGATGCTGAGCTCTATGCAAATACCCTTGTTTCAAAGGAGGATTTCCCCTAATGTTGCAGCAACACCTGCTTCCAGCATCCTACCAGCATCCTGCACAGCCCCCTGTAGCTCTCAGCACGAGCTCCAATGCCTGCAGGCTGTGAATTTTCCCTTGGCCCGTCCCTCACCTGCCCTGCCAGGTGACCCTCAGTGCTGTGCTATCCCTGCTTCCTTCCGCTGCTCCCTGTGCTGAGCCCCAGGAGCTATTTCTGGCTGCTCCTGAGCGTGGCTGTGGTGGCATTGCGTAATGGCAAGATGCTCACTGACATAACGGGAAAGCCGCGTGCGTGTCCCCAGTCACTCCCTGATGCTCTGCCTGGCTTAGCACCGAGCGGCACAGACCTTCCCCTCCTCTCCCAGGAGGTTTGCTTTCTTTCTGTCATTGCTTTCCAGGGTTAATAGCGAGCCACAAGCCTGTCAGTGCCAGTGAGCCTGCTGCTGGCTTGCCTTCACAAAGGAGTGGTGGCACAGCTGCTGCAGGAAGTGATTAGTGTCCTCCGAGGCTTCACGCTGCTATACTGAGCCTTGGCTTTGAGCCCCTGCTCCTGGCTGTGAGTTGAGAATGCTGCTGAAGGCCCAGCAGCACTGCAGGGTTTTTCCTAGGAAAATTTGCTCTTTTGGTTTGCTCCCTGGCTTGTCATGGATGAAGTCCCTTCATGGTCAGCAGCTAGCCCTCCTGCAAACGACGTTAAATTGTTAGTGAGTGTCCAGAGCAGGGCTGCAGAGATGGGGAAGGGTCAGGAAGACGAGATGTTTGAGGAGTGGCTGAGCTCCCTGGATTTGCTCAGCCCAGAGCAGAGGAGCTGAGAGGAGGCCACATGGCAGCTGCAGCTTCTCAGAGGGAGTGGAGGAGCAGAGCTGAGTTCTGCTCTCTGTAACAGGGACAGGGCCTGAGAGAATGGCATGGAGCTGTGTCAGGGAGGGGCAGGTTGGATATCAGGAAAAGGATGAGGCGAGTCCTTGGCTGGCAAAGGAAGCTGCTCCCACCTAACATCAGTAGTAGCCGCCACTGTGTGCCCCAAGGGAAGTTACTGGCACAGTTCAGGCACACAGTGTGTCTGCAAAGAAGGAAAGTGCTTTTCCTTCAGTAGCGCCTCTGCACAGTGAGGGCTTAGAAAGTAGTATCCTGCCTTGGGAATGCCTCTGGTACCTCAACCTGTGGGAAGCTGATCAGCTAAAGGGAAGGAGATGAGAACTCTTCCAATAGAAAACACTGTTTTCCTTATCTCTGCCTCCTGACTGCACAAATAGCTGTATGGGCAGGTTGCTTATGACCAGCTGCTTCAAGTCATCTAGCTAGCTGGGAATGAAAACTGTGTGTATGAATGAAAACTCGCTAGAACCCACAGTCAGAGAATTTGCCTTGTCAGGTCTCAACCTGGGGGACCTGGGGTTTTAGCTGAAAGACTTTCACAGCTCAAAGGTTTGGGACTCATAAGCGGAATGAAGCATTCACAGACCTTTGTTTCTTAAATAAATAGAACTGGAGTTAGCTTTGGTTTTTAGAAGTGCATGAAAATGAAGCCAAGCTTATGTAACAGAAGGTCACACTCATAGCTCTGGTTGATGGGACCAGCACCTAACTAGCAGCTAAATCCAGACATGTCAGCTCCTGTCGGTCCAGCTCTTCTCTGAGTCGTGTATTTCCTCATCTTTAGCCTGGTTTCCAAAGAAACCATGACATTGATTGCTGTAATGCTAGCTCCCCTTTCCCCTGTGGCTTCCAAACCTGAAAGCTGGTTCCATCTGTCCATTCATCTGCATCACAACAGTGGATACTTCCAAATCTGTTCCTGTAGGTTAGGAAAACGGTGGCAGGAGTGAGAGCAAAGCCACCCGTGCTGTGGCAGCCTGTGAGCAGCAGGTCTGGTGGAGCTGCCTTCGCCCCTGGCAGAGGAGCAGGACAGCGGGGGACACCCGTGAAGTCAGCAACGTGGCAGGGGAGGTGGTGGTGCCAGGCACTGGGCTTCCCTCATCGGTTCTGCTGCTTGTACAACAGCTTGCCCAGCACATGTCTGAATGGAGGTCAGGAAAGTGTTGGGATGGGATGTGCTAACCGGATAGCAGTGTCAGCAGCATTTGGCTAACACACAGTCTGGGCTTTAGAAGTAAAGCCTAGAACAGTGACACGGGTATGACTGAAAACTGTTTGTTGAGTAACCTACTTGCAGTGCTTCCTCCCCCTGCGTGTGCAGGTGAAATTTCACCTCTGGAAACTGATCCTGATGCACAAATTCCAGGTCCTTCCAAAGTGTCCCATCCCCCACTCTGCCATTTAACATCAAAATTTGTTGCTCTGTTCTGCTGACTTGCCTCACAGATCTTAATTTTTCCTCTTCATTTTCAAGGAGGATGTTAAAAGACATAATTTCCACTGCTACTTTTAATGCCATTAGGAAGAGACTGTCACAGGAGAATGCAGATATATTAAAGACTGTTAAATTACAGTGCAGCATTTAGGTGATAAAAACCTGCCCAACATTATTCATGGCTTTCTAAAAAGAAAATGCAGGTACTTATGGTTCATTCCTTCTTGCCAAAACGATATTTACTGATGCTGGATTCTTCCTTGACCTGTCTGTACAATGAGATGAAGCAGAGCAAGACAAAATAGTGCTATATCCAGAAGACCTACTTTTGTCTTTAAAAATGCCCTTGTAACACATTCTCCAGCTTGCACAGAGTGTGTTCACTCTTTCTGTTTTTATTAACCTTTGTTTTGCTCTGCTCTTAGTTGTGCTCATGCTAGCATGGCTATATTTGGAAGCAAAATAAATTAATTGGTTGCAAACTAAAATGAGTTTTGATCTATGCAGGCTGCACAAAGAGGGGCAAAGAGAACAGCTTGTGCCACTTTCCTGCTCGGGAATGCTGCATATATCATGGGAAACCATGCGCGTGGGTGGAATTCTTTAGCTTGTTTGTCAATGCGAAGTATTTTGAATACTGTCACTGAATATAGCAAAATCCTTATTTTCACAGGCCAGATAATCCCTCGTGTTTTCTTAAACAATGCACTAATGTGGTCCCTTTTTGGCAGACAAAGGGAACAATGCGGTACTCGTTACTGTAGCCCTGCACCAGGGAACAGTCCCTGTGCATAGGAATGCAGTGGAGGCAGAAACATGCAGAGGTTTATGAGAATTCTTCAAACTAACCCTGAAAGTAGCCCAGCTGCAGTATGCAGTTTGTTGGGACCTGCAGCCATATGGACGTGCACCCAGGGTGATCATGAAGCTAAGGAGATCCATGTGTTTTCAGGGTCTGGCTTGGAAAGTAAGGTTTAATTAATTCAGAGCAAGGTACCTCATATTACCTCCCATTTACCATGGGAAGGGGAAGGAAGGAGAGCTGGTATGCAGATAGTTACCATGGAGCACATGATATATATGGGAGCTTGATACCTTGTGCATGCTCTTACCCTGCAGTAAATGAGCTCGCTCCTATTAGCAAATCTGAGTCATGTTAAATCCCTAAGGGATGGAAAAAGCTCACTGTGCGTTTGGGTAAATATAGCATGCAACTTTGCTTGCATGCAAACATCCTCTCCCCTGTTGGGCTTGGTTTCACTTGTTGGTTAGTTGTACCAATGCATGTTCATTTCCAGAACTGTTCCTATGGCTCCTGCTTCTGCAGTACAATCCAGCCCAGCATGAAGCTGAGAAGCAGGCTCAAGATGTCAGTACTTGCCTCTCTGGTGTTCCTTGGCTCTTTTTCCCTAAGGGTATGTTTGGGCAGGCCCGTTTGCAGCGTGTTTGGCAGAGAGCTGGTACACTGGGTGGTTGGAGTTTGGGAAACCTGAGGGAAGAGCCATATATCTTATCACATCCTGTGCTTACATGTCGTATAGATTAATTTTACAGGCTCGTATATTAGATGGTTGTATTTATATAGTGTCACTACTGTAAAGAGCTGGTGATCTATGGATACAACCCTTGCATGACAATTGAGGTTGAATCCAGGTCAGATCACCTTGGAAAAATATGAGCTGAAAGCTATTGCAGGGTAAAGTTCTGCCGCACCACAAGCATTTATTATGGTGGTGCTGTACTTACACCAGCTGACCCTTCCTGCTTGTTTTAAGACAGGTTTAGAAGAGGGTGCCACAATGGAAGATGTGTACTTGGCATCGGTGGAGACGGACCGAGGGGTGAAGGAGCAGCTGCGGCTGTATGACACCAGGGGTCTGCAGGAGGGCGTAGAGCTGCCCAAGCACTACTTCTCTGTTGCTGATGGCTTCATCCTCGTGTATGCCATCACCAGCCTCGAAGCCTTCCAGAGAGTTGAACAGCTCAAAAAAGAGATTGATATCTTCAGAGACAAAAAGGAGGTAAATGCATGGTGCCCTAGCTGCTTGGCTTATTGGCATATCAGTGATAGGAAGTTAATGTTACAAAGCATAAGGTTGGGCTCTGTAAAACTTGCATAGAAAGGAAAACAAGTGTACCCACAGCCTTGGGCAATCCAGCCAAAGGGAGCTTTCTCCTGATGGGGAAGCCTCATTCACATGCTGTGCAGCTCAAACAAGTAAAGTGGTGTTTTTTTTTTCTTACTTCCTCTACCACAGCTAAAATCCAGTTAGCTGAATGCATCAGTTTGGACACTTATGAGTAATAAACCATATGGTCTACAGCAGTGCAGTTCTTATGTTATTTTTTTTTCTTAGGTATTGCACACGGGAAGTCAAGTGCACAGAATAATGTAACGAAGAACATTATTTTTGTTTGTTTTGTATTCACATACTTGATGGCTTACAAACTAGTGTAACTGACAGTGGGTCTCCCAGACATTAGTCAATTGGCAAAGCAGCTTTAATGTAACTTAACAACCATATTGAATCAATTCAATTGTGTGAAATGACTGCTCTATTTTCCCTTAGAAAGCAGCTAGTGTTTTCAGCTGACAGTGTTCCAGCTTAGCTAAACAAATATAACTTGCATGTGGCATTAGCATTATGGCTTTTCTTACAGTATCTTTGTGTTCTCCAGTAGCTTTCCCTGCTAAATGTCTTTAGCCTACAGCTCTCCAAATGTCTATTTTATGCTGTTTAGAAAAAGAAAAGTGCATGAAGAATTAATTGGGTAATGGCAGGGAGAGACTTTCCAAAGAGTAACTTGGGCAGTATTTGCAGAAGTACTGCAGGAAGGCAGGCTCAGAGCTTGATGGCAAAAATGGAGGCAGAGAGGTATGTTGGCTGGCATGAGCTGCATGCTGTCAGGGTACAGATGTCAGGAGTATGGCAGTTGGCCACAGCCAACATGTGACAAGCAGGACATTCACCCAGACACTGTGTTTCTTGAGGGTGACGCAATTGAAAAATAGTGGTGCCCACAGCAGGCTGGATAAATCAGTTTTATTCCTCTGATTTCTACTGCGTACAAAATAGTCTCTGAAGGTGAGATCAAGAGTCCTTAAAAAAGCACCAGCAGCCTTTAAGTCTCTGCAGCCATAACCAGATTCAGGATGCATCTCCATCTGTGGTGCCTCTGAGCTGGCAAGCCTTTGCCCCGCCAAGCAGCCAGCCCTGTACCACGCAGCCAGAGCTGTAAAGCACAGGTGGCAGCCTCCTGCCTCTCCTCAGCATGCTCCTCAAAGCGTGGCCTATTTTTGTACTGAATGGAGATTGTCTTCTCTTATGCTGGCAGAGTTTGACCATAGGCAAAATTCCGTTGGTAAAAGTACTGGAAAATGATAGCTTCTTACAAAGGGGTGAACGCCTACTCAAACAGCATGGGCTGCTGTAGAAAGGAAAGGGAGCCTCAGAGCTCGCAAGAACAGGACATACATCTCTAGCTAGAGAGAAACAGGAGACATCCCAGGGGCAGCCTGATGAGCAGGAAAGGGCTAGTGGGTGTTGCCATGGCCAAAAGCCCAGTTGTGGGGCGAGGACTTCATTATTTTAGATTTGTCAAACCACCATGCAGTGCAGAGATGAGAGCAGAGTTCAAGTAAGGACCTTGCACTATAAATACAGGCATGATTTCCCCCATTGGCTGATGCTGTTAAAACATTTTTAGAAAGTGGTTAAGTTAAATCAAGCAGGAACGGTAGCTTTAAGGGACTACATTCAGTGCTGGCTGAAGGAGAGGCAGCAGGCAGCCCCCAGGCCTGTCTACACCTGCTGCCTGGGATGCAAACAGGCTGGGCAAAACCCTTGTATCCACGCCTTCCGTGCTGCCATAAACCATTTCTCAAGCACCCACAGCTCTGACTGACTCAAATGCCACTCTCTAGGGTTACTTACTTCTTACTTAGCTAAGTACTTACTTACTTGAGTAACTCTAAAGTTACTTACTTCTTACTTCTTTAGGGCAGCTCAATCGCAAAGTAAATGGAGAATAGGACTGTTTAACTTCTGCTCTTTTGGGTATGGCTTCCCTTTAAGCAGCCTGTGGGCTAAGTCTTGCATATCTTATGATTAAAGCAGCTCCCAGGCCGCAACTAGACAAGGCAGGTTTGAACCCCAGACCCTACCCTTCCAAATCGTATGCAATTTGAGCCAGTGCTGAGCTAAAGAACAGGCCTGAATTGTGTTACTGATGTCTGCTGTTTGTTTACAGGCACTGTGAACAGTGGATGCTCTTTGCACAAAGCTCACCCGTTCGTTTCATTTGTAGGTAACAGTTATCATACTGGGAAATAAAACGGACCTCCTGGAGCAACGACAAGTGGAAACAGAAGCAGCGCAGCAATGGGCAAGGGCTGAGAAAGTGAGACTGTGGGAAGTGACTGTGACAGATCGGAAAACACTGCTTGAGCCATTCACTTTCCTAGCGAGCAAACTCTCCCAGTCCCAGAACAAATCAACATTTCCCTTGCCTGGAAGGAAGAGCAAAGGGAATAACTGCGATAACTAAGCTCCCTTTAATGCTGTCTGCCGTAGCCAGGTGCAGCCTAAATCCTTTCTATGCCTTTTGCTTCACGCGGTTTCACTTAAAGCAATAATCTCATTCAGCAATAAATCAGCAAGCTTATGGCTAAGAGGTATTTTTCCTTCTTGTGGACTTGGCTTGAAAAAGTCACTGGTGGTGAAGCCTTAAAAAGCACTTAATGCTGGCAGTTACCTTGCAATAAGGCTGAGGAGGGGAGAAGAGGGTGGGAAAAGGCATGGGCTTACCTCTTCTGCAGGGGCTTAGACTGTCCCTGGGTACCCAGAGAGGGAAACTATCCTTCAGATCTATGGCACTTGTTCACACACAGAGCTACCTGTAGTGAAGATATAAATGTGGAGAGAGAATATGTCTGAAACAGCAGCAGTCCTTTGACCTTAAGCAGGGAGCCCCTTGGCCACAGGGTTTTGGATACTGCAGGGGGCTCGGGGTCAGGGTGCTGTTGCAGAAGTGTTGGGGCATGAGGAGTAAATGCAAACAGATTTACATGCCAGAGCTCTGTTAGTGTCTGAAAATAAGTGAAGAGGGAAACAATGTCTCGTGGGAGATCCTAGATCAGATCTACCCTAACATGAAGCTTGTCAGCAAAGTCTGGCAAGTAGTGCCTTCAGCTCAGGAATTTATTTGTACAAACCAGAAAAGCTCTCACAGCACTCATTAATTTAACTGTGACCTGATGGACAACATAGCAGTATGAAGTTTTGTTCCAACATGTCCAGTGCAAATCAGTCACACTGACATAGGTGCTAATTTTGTTCAGAAATGGTATGGAACAACTTGGTAAGCAGGAGGTACCTCACCAGGCTCTGCTCAGTGCCTTGTGAAAGTTTCCTGCCCAGCTAGAGAGTGAAGCCACAGCAACCCACAGCCTGAACAAGGCTGCAGGCTGGAGTACAGCCAGTACAAAGTGCTGCACTGCTTGGTGAGAGGGGCTGAGGAGTGAAGGTTGCTGCCTGTTGGGAACAACCTCACAGCAAATGCACAGAAATCCCTGTATAAATGGCCTCGGTCTTAAAGTGCTGTACATTGTACAGCAGCAGGAGCACAGCTTTATGTGCTGGATTTGACGCTCTGCATTGGTAAACCTGTTCCAGGTCAGTCTGTTAGCACACCAAATAAAACTGATTATAAAGAGACAATGGAGTGGCTGTTCCCAAAGTGAGGGGCCAGCTTTTGGCCTCTAAAACCTTAATACACTGATAGCAGCTTTTCTTTGAATTTGAAGGCAGGAGCAGGGAAAGAGAGCAAACTGAAGTACCCAGTTCTTTAATTTACCATGAGATTGTTGCTTTGAGCAAATATTGAGAATTTCATTGTGAGTCAGCAAAACCATGAGCAATATTTGCACTTCATATTATAACTGCTAAATAGTGTGCTTAATGATCACAATTAGGCTGTGTGCTTACAGCATTGCTCTTCCTGAATCCTGGCAAATAAACTGTCAGCATTGCTAATGCCAGAGCAACAGTACAATCCACTGAAAATTAAGCAAGTATTCCTACTTTCATAATGAAGTTAGACGAAACTGTTTATGTGCTTTGCTCAATACAGTTTGGATTGCCGTGGCCACCAAGTCAGATAAGAGAGCAATTATGAATGAGCAAGCCCCTGTAATGCCCTGCTAGAAACATACAATTGCCTCCATTGCAACACTGCAGCTGAGTAAGCACTACAGCACGACCTCCCCCAGCCTGGCCACTAATAGTCATCATCCCCAGCGATGCTGCAGAACAACACTCCCTCCTCACTCATTTCCTACAATACACGTGTACTCATGGTTCTCCCCACCCAGAAGACTGCATGCACAGAATCTGCCTGTGCACTTGGGAAGCGAGGTGGTTCAGAGCAGCTGTGGTTTACCTATTTGCTGCAGCTTTTCATTGAGGAATTGGATACGTCCTGCTCTTCAGCTCTGCAGAACCTTTTACCAGGGAAGGACTTAATTCAGCTATGTATCAGTCAAAATACAGAACACCTCTGCTAACTGCACACTGTTACCAAGGCTGATCCCTGAGCAAAGGGAGTGTGGGCCAACAAGTGAAACCAGTCGGAATTAGCTTAAATTGTGGAGATGGAAGGAATGGAGATGACCAGCTCCTGACCAGTTCTGCTGGGATAGACGTCACCTGTGGTCTGTAGGGGCTGGGTCACACAAGGCTGGCTTGCTCACTCACCCCCTTGACACTCAGGACTCGGCAATGCTTTAAGAATAGCAGAGGAAAAGGGAACTTTTAAGTGACTAACATTATGTTTCCAAACAGGTTACATAAAGTCTAACATGTTATCTTTGATTTAGTTAAACTCATTTCCAGATCATTTTGGGCATCCGCATAAACAACCACCACCCATTATTTTATTTAATAGGCTTACCCTGATGCTTTCTAAGCACTCAACTGCCTTTTCTAAACAGCACAGTATTTTATTGGCCAGCAATAGAAATGGTAGTTTCTCCTCTGCAAACAATCTGCACTCAGTGGCTGGTGAAACTGTAGTGCAGTTTTACCTTCAGTTAATAAGTAAAGTACATCCGTACAGGGTATAAAGTAGTAGTGCTAGGGCAGGAAATGTATTTTGCCCTTTGTTGTTTCACTGATTCAAAGTTTGCCCTAGGTCACAAGGATCATGTATGTACTATAATGCCAGACAGTCCCTTCACAAAATGACAATTAAAAAAAAAAAAGAAAAAGAAAAAGAAATAAGCAAAGTGAAGCTCCTTTCTTCATTTGTTACATTTCTATCCATCCTAATTTAGCTTTCCCTCCACTGCCAACTGCAAGAATTAATTTGGCATGTACTGGTAGCACAAAGCAAGGAACAGACAAAAATCTACAGAAGTCACTTACATCCTCACATAGAGAAGGGGAGGAATGAATGAATTTAAGGGTCCCTTACCAGAGATGCTCCTGGTGTGATGTAGCTATATACCAGTGATTTTTCTAGGCTGAGCTGAACAGCTGTGGGAACCCACACACCAGGACACATATTCTGTTGAAAGAAGACAGTTTAACAGATGAGGCTAACATCTTCTAGTACCTACAACTACCCAACAAAGGAGTGGTGCCTGTACATAAACTCCTTGGGACCAAATTAGATTTGATCTTTAAATAGATAGGAAGCATATAAAACAAACGTATGTGGAATGTAAAGTACAAAAATAAATCCGTGAGAACAGACGAACACATCACACTCAGAAGAATGTTGCAACGTGATGCACTTGTCATGTGAAAAAGAATCTGTGCTTCCGGCCTTTACCTTGAGGGAGTGGTCAAAAATGCCACGTTCAAACCTAACTACCCCGTTGCCACACTCTTCAATGTACACACTATATCTCTGGGAGATAATCTTTCGAGCTAGTTAAAGGATCTACAGGCTAAGCCTCCTTTATGGTGTCTTCGTCTGGCTTCCCAGGACACTACTCCTTCTCCTCTTTCACGTGGAAATTGATGATTCCATCAGAAAGCCACGAGAACATTCTCTTCTTCCTCCTTCCTTCTGCCCATTTCTCATTCTACTGTACTTTTGCTCTTCCTATCATACTTCCGTATAATGCAACACTCCTGAAAAGACAATGCTGTGAAAACTTGAGCTGAAGACTAACCAGGGGCTCTAGGAGCCTGGGTAACACCTACACAACGAATGTGTTGTCATTCACCATACGCTTGTCTAGAAGCATCTTCCCAAAACAGAAGCAGATGGCGCACTCACCTGCAGAGCTCGCTTGTCTTTATACGGAATGCAAGCCTTGAAGTGCACTGGGAGACACTGTTCTGGCAAAGTGATAAAGCAAGGCACTAACACTAAGCAGAAGTCTCTTCATTTTTTTTTTTTCCTTCTTTTTTTTTTTTTTTAAACATCTTTTTATTAGCACAGTAACAAATGCAGACTTAAGTAGCCCACAACATACAACCAATCCACTGAGTGACTCCTATTCCACGCCTTACAATTAAACAGCTTAAGGTATTTCACTACAAGTTGTCATTAGTCCTGATTAAAACTTTTATTCTTCTCACAAAGATAGATTGGCTTATAAAATAATACATTAGCTACTTCTCATTTCATATATGAGGCCATATATCCCCCTCTCCGTATCACAGACCATGAGATGACAGTCTTTAAAAAGCATTTGTTAAATACCAATGCGCCCTCTATAGGGGAAAACAATCCCAACATCTTTTTTTACAAAAAACAAAAACAAAAAACAAAGCAAAACAAATGAACAAACCAAACCCTCCCAAACCAAAAACAAAACAAAAAGCAAAAAACAGTGTGTAGAGTCTTGAAAGGACTTTTACATAAACGCCAACATAAGTACCTGTACAAAATTAAGCTGTTTTATCTTTTACATAATGGGAGCAAACTGAAAACCAAAGAAACCTAAGTTTACATTCTTCTCGGTACTATATGTGAGCTAATATTGCCAAACTAATTACAGTCTTAAAATATGCTATTCCCAATTCTAGCTGTCTACTGTAGCAAGATACCTTAAGTTACAACAACAAAATCTTAGGAAATAAAAGACTGAATAAAATCTGTTATAGAAATACCCTACTCTTTACCAGCACCCTCCCTCCCCCCCACCCCTTCAAAATCATAAGCAGCTCTTTCCATCACAGACAAATAATGTAAATCTGACAGAAACGCAATTTATGTAGCATATCTTTTGGTCCATTGTCTGGCCATTCTGTCATGCTCTGCTCTGTTAGTCATATACTGAGTGGCAATGCTTCCAACCAGGGGGTCAGCTGAAAAGGAAAGAAAAGAAAGACTTATTTCAAATTTAATGCAAGGGAATAAAGACAAATACATCACAACAATATAAATATACTGAATTGATTGTATCTTCATCAGTTTGTGCTTATTTATGGTAACGTAGAGATCTATTGCTTGATAAAGTGGGAAATACTGACCGAAATGTTAAGGAGTTTAAAAGACAACAGTCCAATAGTCACCTAACAGTTATATCTCGCATTCCTGAAAACCTTCCCTAATTCGAGTGTTTATTTTACCTTTTCTAAAATTGCCTGAGACGTACTCATTGCTAAGTGTACTTGTATTGACATAAATCTGGCCTATAGGAAAGATCAGATTGTG